TCCCAGAAGTTACATGACATGTGATGGCGCCTCAGAGTGAATGCATATGCAGATGTGGGAATCCAGCTGTCTTCTGTTAATAACTAGACTTCAAAGAGATTTGCAGAACTGTAAAAGAATTCTACTCTTCCCATGAACTTTTTTGGAAAATATAGTTATTTTTCATAGCAATCTTTAAGCTGATATATGATGGCTTTTTGAAGTCCTGGTGTGGCGCTGTGAGTTAATGTGCCAGACTGGAAAGCCGTTTGAACTACAAGGTTGGTGGTTCAAGCTCACCAGTCACTCCTTGAAAACCCTATACAGGGTCGCTATGGATTGGAACTGACTCGACGACACTTAACAACAACAACATAATGGGTTTATTACTGTGTACTTACTTATTTTTGTGTGGTGAGACCCCCACGGCTTGCTGCCTTCTTCTCTCACTCACAGGGTCATGCCCTGAATCTTTTTTTTTTTTTTTTTAACTGTTTTATTGTGAATTGAGTGAAAGCTTACAGAACAGATCATCAGTTTTACATTCAACATATCACATACTTCATTCATCTCAATGATTGCAGTGCCTGCCATGTATCAACAGTTAACAGTATTTACCTCTATTCACTTTAACTCTTGCATTCCTACCCATCTTTCAGTACCTTCATCTTTCCTCTGCTAACCTCCCTCTTGTTGTATATTGCCTTCCCTATCACCCAAGTTGATATATGTTTACCCTCTAGACAGTGGGTAATTTTACTGTTTATTTCTAAGGGAATTGAAATTTTATTTTAAATTTATAACATGGTGAATATTAATAGATATAGTTCATATACAAACAAAAGCTCTTTGAAGCCCTTAATTGTTAGTATTGTAAAGGGGTCTCAAAATCAAAATGTCAGTGAACTGCTGCTCAGAGCAAAGCTTTTCAAAGAACACATGGCAATTCATTGGTGATTTAAGAAATGAATTTACTGAGTTATATCAAGCTTTGAAAGGAGCCCTAGTGGCACTTTAGGATAAGCACAAGACTGCTAACTGTAAGGTAGGTAGTTCAAACCTACTAACAGCCCCGAGGTAGAAAAATGAGCCTTTCTGTTCCTATAAAGATTTACAGCCTTGGGAACTCTGTAAGGGTTCTATGAGTCAAAATTGACTCAATGGCAGTGGGCTCTGGTTTTTGGTGGATTTTTTTTCTTGCAGGGGGAAAAAAGTGAATTAGAATAAAATCTAAAAAAGAAATCAAAGTACATTACATGTAAGGTTAAATACTATTTTTGAGATCCGTGCAGAGACGTTTGTTAGCTGCGGTGTAATGGTGACTGGGACAGCCGATTCACAAGTGAGATTTGGTCAGTCTGTGAAAAGGCTTCTCGCTGAGAAGGTGAACACCTGTGACACTGACGTGACCTCACTTAGCAAGCAGGTGATGACTGGCTCCCAGAGCTCCGAGCTGCTAGGTCAGGCAGCTCTAAACACGGTGCTACAGGGAGATGGCATCGTGCACTCAGAAAATAGCCCTTAAGGAAAATGACAATACTAACACATTGTTGATGCCAGCAAGAAGCTATCCAGAAGAATGTTGAGCAGTCCTCAGATCTACAGGACCAGTTGAATCACCTGTTGAAATAGAATAGTATGTAACAGGGCAAAAACATTTCTTTGGTGTGTTTGTTTGTTTTCCTGAGGAGGAAATATCTTATTACAGTCATCATGCCATGGATTGATTATCCACTTTCTTCTCCAAAAGTTAAGTTAGAAAAGATTTGTGCTGATTACAGTTCATTTGGAACACAAGCCTGGGGTGGCGGCATTGTGGAAACACTCCTTGAATCGGACCAACCCAGGGTCTTACTGAATTATACGTTACTCTGTTTAGTTTGATATGTAAGTACAATTAAAGGATGTCTTAGTTTTCCCTATAGATATCTTAATACGCTTAAGGTCATATTATCTAAATGTGATTCTTAAGCAAATACTGAATAATGTTTTAAATCCAAAAATAGAGCTTTTAATGTGAACATGTAAGAATGGTAATATTCTTGTCAAAGACTTTTTTTTTAAATCATGCATTCAATAATAATTTTATGGTCACAGAATGAGGCTTTTCTAGTAATTCAGTGAGATACTTTGGCTAGCTGCTACCTCTTGTCTTGGCTTGCATTTCTTAGCATTTCTTTATTGTAACTCTTGAGATTATATGGCCGAGGGGTTCATTCTGTAATTTTCTTTTTCATCACCACATTCATTTGCATGACATTGGTGCCAAGTGTGAAGGTTGTTGAGTTACCATGAGTGACTATGACATTGGGTTGTGGTCTAAGGCTGTGAAGACTGCATGTTTGTAGACATTTACCTAGTTTAGTAGATTCATCTTGTTAAATAATATAACCATTCGTCTACTGTTAAACATGGGTATTTTTACTTTGTTGGAATTTAGAATGGGATTTTGTTCTCTTCTAGTTCTGTTCTTAACTAATGCTGAGAGGAAATATCTCACTTCACAACTGACATAAAATCATGCTTCCACTGAAAGGAAAGAAAACAAATAAAAGTCTAATTGAATTCATATTGTGGATCGCCATATTAACTAAGCAATTAAGTTTGTATCTATCTCATTATATTTATGCATACTTCGTTATGGCTAAAAAGTTAGGTGTGAACTATTTTCAAAATTCAATTATGCATTAAGTCCACAAACATCTTTTAAATTACTAAATGCAAATGTTCTCAATTTATCTTTATAAAGAAGGATCACCAATTTAGAAAATAAAGCAAAATGTAATTATCCAAGTATACAATAAGCAAATATTATATTTACATTTTTAAAAAACTTGTACTGGGAGTTGGGTGAAAGTTTACAAAAAGCAAATTGGTTTTCTATTCAGCAGTTCATTAATACATATTTTAATTCATGACATTGATTGCAGTCCTCACAATGTAACAATGCTCTTCCCCTGCCTGTGCTTACCATTTCCATTCATCCAAGAAGCTAATACTTTAAGTGAAAAAGAAATACTGTTTTTGAGACTTTTACTTTAGTCTTGTGTATGTAGCATTAAATAGGTTTCTTGATAATTTTTGAGAGCACCAACCCTAGAGAAACTTTTGCTTGTGTGAGCAAGAGACGTATACAAAGATATTCATTGTTGTACTGAGATCATTTGGGAACATTCTAAAAAAAAATGGGTAAATAAAATGTGGAAAATTGATGTGATGGAATCCTATATATAGCACTTTAAAGAAATGAACTTATTGTTGTGATTGTTAAGTGCCGTTGAGTTGGTTCCAACTCAAAACGACCCTGTATAGGATTTCCAAGACTACATCTTTGTAGGAACAGAAAGCCCTGTCTCTCTCTGATGGAGTGGTTGGTGGGCTCAAACTGCCAGCCCTGTGGTTTGAAATCTGGTGCTTATTCTGCAGAGCCACTGGAATGAACTAGAAGACAAGAAAACTAAAAGTGGAACATGCAGGGAAACAAATACCCATAAAATGACACTTTATGTTCTTAGAAACATGTGTGATGTTCTTTTAGAATGGATTGGGATAGATACACACCACATTGATGAATCTGCTTGCCTATGTATGGGAAAGTGAATGGAGATGACTGGCAAAGGGGACTTTCACTAAATCTGTTGTTATATTTTCAAATGGAATTCCACTTTGTTGATTATCAGCTCACTGGTAGATACGTGAGTGTTTACATTTTTTACTACTCATTTTTTGGTAAGAGGCAGGTAGCTCCTGCAAGAAGAAAAATTAAATCAATTGAAATGTTGGACATAAATTGTGAAAAATTTAGATAAATAGCCATTTATAATCCAGAAAATATGAAATCATAATTTGTTTGGTCAGCAAACCTATGGTCCTGCTAGTGCCAAGTGGCACTGTGGGTTAAGTGGACTATTAAATTAACTGCAAGGTTGGTAGTTCAAACTCTTCAGCTGCTCCGTGGGAGAAAGATGAAACTGTGCTCTGGTAAAGATTTAGTCTTAGAAACCCAATGAGGCAGTTCTCCTGTGTCCTGTCCAGGGTCGCTGTGCATCAGAAAAGACTAGATGATACTGGGTTTGATGACAGGTGCCATGTTAAACTCCTCAGGGCAGAAGCTTTTCACATTGGTGGGCTCGGAGGCAGTGGGCATTGTATTGAGTACTTACTGGGGGCCAGGCAAGAGCACTTTGCACACATTATTGTGTTTCCTCACAACAACCATATGAAGTCGGTACTGTGATAGGTACATTTACAAAACTAGCTTAAAGAAGTCGAGTAACTTCTCACTGGTGTAGACAAAAGCCTGGAAAGATGGAAATATTCAGGGTTGATTTAGGTATGTGTTTTTAAGAGCTTCTATTTTCGTTTGAGTCTCTGGTGGCACAATGATTAAGGCTGTTGTTATATGACATGGAGTCAGTCCGACTTATAGCGACCCTGTATAGGGTTTCCGAGGCTGTAAATCTTTACGGGTTAAGGTGCTCAGCTGCTAATTGAAAGTCTGATGGTTTGCACCCACCAGCTGCCCTACAGGAGAAAGATGTGGCAGTCTGCTTTCTTAAATTATACAGACTTGCAAACCCTATGGGGCATTCCTACTGTCTTAGAGCGTAACTATGAGTTAGAATCGACTTGACAGCAGTGGACTTTTGGTTTGTTTCAGCTTCCCTGGGCTGTAGCATGAATATACAAATAATTTTTTTAAGTACTCAGTTTGGGACAGAATGACATGAGAAAATACAGAAATACCTCCTAAATGTCATTGAAGTTATGCATGTTAGTCCATTAAACCTCTTTTTTATTTTTTTATTTATTGTTAAAGTAGCAATTTTACCAAAAAGTCATGTAGACTGCTTTAAGTATTTTCTGTTGAAGGTAAACTTTTGGGCAGTCAATAATGTTTTACTCATTCTAGAATGTAAGCAGTGTCTCAAAAGTGTTTAAAGCTCTTCAGTGATTGGCGTTTCCAAGAGAAAATGTAGCAGAGGTATTGCTTTTACTCTTTCTCACTGTTTTCTTCTCAGGAGTACTTCTTGCAAGCCGAGCTGACAAGTAATGTTTTAAAAACAGGAGTGGTTCGCTGCTGTGTGGGACAGTGCAACAATGCCATTCCTGTAGACACTGTCCTCACAATGAAGAAACTCCCCATCACTTATGTATGTGGCTTCTGGTAACAGCTTTCATTTTATGTACAGTAAAAGTCAATCCTTTATGTTTTGTTGCATGTAAGCTATGTGATTACCTGGGTTATGGGCCAGGGAGCTGGAAGAGAAATTGCTTTGTGGATTCTTTTAGGATGTTTTGGAGACCTTTCATTCACATGTGTGGCATTAAAGATGTACGATCTCCCTGCTGTCAAGACAATAAGATCAGCAAGGATCTGGTTATGTAGTATGGACTGGGAGTGTTTAGCCTTATGATGAGATTGGATTCTGACCAGATATATAAGAGGAGAACTGCTTATTTGGGGGTGGGGGGGGCAGTTAAACTTCTCTTGATTTTCTACCCCTTGACTTGATAAATTTGGTTTCTGCTCTAAGAAGATTTGATAGAGTTGAGTTTACCCCAGAGGGTAATGTCTTGGGAAGTATTTTATCTCTGAGGATTTATATATATCCTGGAACCATCAGGATAAGAAGGCCTAGTCCCCTAGCAGCTATGACAGTAATTCAAGGCTTTTTGATGGACAACGCTTGTTTTTTGGTGGTTCCTCTGACCTCTTTTTCTTATCCATCACTGCAGAGCAACAGGAAGGAAAACAAGGGTGGATACCTCTGCCACTCCTGTACAGAACAACGTATTGGGCCTTTGGCATTCCTGACTGCCTCCCCGGAGCAGGTGCACTCCATGGACCGTACCATTGAAAACATAGTGCTGCCCAGACATGAAGCCCTGCTCTTCCTTGTCTTCTGATGCCAACATGAACATTCTCCATGGTACAAAATGCCTTGCTGTGAACTCCAAGTACTCGGAGAAAGCCAGTGTGGGGTAGGGTTCTCATTCACTTGAGACTCTGAATTCACTCAGCTGGCACTTTTAAGGAAAAAGAAACCATCCAGAGTTGGATCGCCATCCCCTATAAGCAGCCAGTTTCCACTTGCCCATCCTCCTAATGCATCAGGTTGACAAAGTGGGAAATTTTTTATTAAAAAAACAACAACAAAAAAACCCAAAAACTTATGTATTTAAACTTTTATTACAAGGTTTCAATTAAACAGGCATTATAGCACTGGCTAGCCACTGTGCATCACCTGGGTCCAGCACTGTTGTCTCCCAGCCCTCCCTTTTCCATCAGTCCTGTCACTGTTCACGTGGCACTCCAAGCAGAGGTGGAGATTTAATCTGTAGGCTGATAATTGCAGTTTCAACATGAGATTTTAGTGCCATAGGGGGGCTCATAAGTGTCTTGGGGTACACAATTCAACCAGAGAGAAAACATAATAAAATGACAAGTCCATACTGACAGTAAGTAACTAACTAGAAATAGAACTAATAGGAGAAATGGAGTTGCATAGTCCCTATGAAGGGAAGCGGAGCCCTGGTGGCATAGTGCTTAAAGCTTTCGGCTGCTAACTGTAAAACCCACCAGCTGATCCGTGGGAGAAAAGTGAGGAATCTGCTTCCTTAAAGAGGTACAGCCTGGAAACCCTGTGGGACCTCTCTACTCTGCCCTGTAGGGGCACTGTGAGTCAGAATTGACTTGATGACAATATTTATTCATTAATTTATTGATTATTCATTTATTTCATGGAAGAAGAGAATAAGTAGAAGAGAGATGGGAAGTTAGTAGCTGGTTCACTATGCCTGGATATTCTGGGTTGATGTTATAATAAAGCTACTCCTATCAAGGCCCCTGATGAAAAATCCATCTTACTTAGATGTACAAGGACCCTGTAACTTTATATTTTTGCCATACAGCAGTTTAAGGAATGGTGATGGCAGGTGGAGGAGTAGACATAGTATAGAACCTGCCTTTGGTTATAACCCAAGGAATTTGCCACATTTCGCTTCTGAGCCCAAACATAGCCCAAGAGTAGACCTCATAACTTCACTTACTACTGTCTCCTTCGTAAATTCTTCTAGGCCAGGACTCTAGTGGCACGTAGAATATGGGTCAGGTAATTAAACAAGGGTGGTGTGGATTGGGCAGGTGTGGATTGAGCCAGAGGTGCTTGGAAAGGGTAGAATTCCCAGTGTTTGTGTATGGATGAGAATTCACAAAATTAGACCTGTAGATAGAGCTAGGTTATTGTATCCATTCAGACTATACTGAAGATTCTGGCAGTAACTGATGCATATAGATAACTTGGAGTAAAAGAAAAAGAGAAAAGAAAGTTATTTCAATTTGGATTAATCACAGTATCCAGTATCATTCAAAAGAGGGGCTCTGGGGAAGAAGTGGCAAGAAAGAGACCCATTAATATGCTTTTAAGAAATCTGGTTTTGTGAATCAGAGAAGAAGAAATTTACTTATTGAGCAGTAATTTATTCACTCAGTGAACCTTCACTAAACATCTGTTACATAGCAGGTGCCGTGCTCAATAGTGGACATACAGAGTCCAAACATGGCCCCTCGTCTTAAGATTGCAGTTTTTATCAAAGTAGAGATATGGGTGGTTAATAACATTAGTAGTTTGCTAGCTATTAAAGAAAGAGTATTCTAGGAAAAGGGAACAACGTGAAGGAAGAAAAGAATGGTAATAACACTACCAGAGCAAAATGTCAGTTCTGGTATTTTGGTATTTATTTTGAAAATACCACAGACTGTAGGAATTAGTCATTGGCATTTCATTTCTTATGTATGAATACTTAAAAAAAAAAACAAAAAAACAGTGAAATAAAATATTTGGTGTATTTCAAATAGAAAACAATTTTTTTAAATACCCAGTAAAAATTAAAAACTTAAAAAATCTTAAGTATTCATTATTATGCTATATACAGGATTAGATGGTAAGAATAAAAGTATTACTCAAAATCATGAATGAAATAGTACATGAGAGTGAAATCTATTAGATCTTCTTAAAGGTACAGTCTTTAAAATAAAAGACATCAGAGGTTTCATTTAGTTGTGAATGTATTTTAGTGCAGAATTTCCTGTAGGACTTTTTTTAACCATACTAATTGGGAGAGTAATAATGAGAATATTTATAAGGTAGTTCCAAATATTTTTCTCTGATTAATTTTCAAATAATCCTATTTCTCATTTGATAATTTAGAGGATATCTTTTTAAGTTATTTTAAGAGTATGCCTTCTGTTAATAGCAGGCTGTAGTTTTTGTTTCAAAGAAAGGATTTTTTAATTTGTCTCCATCTTCTTTGATTTAACCTTGTATATATAGAGATTCTATACAGCTGCCCATATAAAAATAAATGCTGTTTTGTCATATTCTACTTGTTTAGAAAGTATTTGAGATAAGAATAAAAATTATTCTTACAGAAGTGTTAAAATACCATAGTATATTATAGACTATATATCAGCTTGTCTTCATAATACATTATTTTAAAGACATAAATGTTTCAAATTTTATATTTTTAAAATAAAATAATGATATAATACTATTAGGTCAACCAAAATATTGTCGTTCTCTAACATTTAAAGTATCTATATGCCAATAGCATAGTGGTTACAAATTGGGCTGTGAACCACAAGGTCAGCAGTTTGAAACTACCAGCTGCTCCGTGGGAGAAAGATTAGGCTTTCTGCTCCCGTAAAGATTTACAGCCTCGGAAACGCTGTTCAGGGTCGCTATGGGTCGGAACCGGCTCGACGGCACTTAACGACAACAACAACAGCCCAGACCTATTGAATCAAACTGAGGGTAAGGCCCAGCAATTGATGTTTTACAAGCCCTAGAAATAATTCTGGTGGACACCAGATTTTGAGAAACACCATTAGATATTAAGAAGGTTGACTCCTTAGAATGTGGAGAGTGCATAGGTTGGTTTGATGAATGAGAGAGGATTCTTGATGTCATGCACCATGTTTTGATCACAGGGTGGGTGAGGGTGCCTTTATTGACCCTGGGAAAATAGGAGATGGAGCAAGGCTCTTTAAAAAATAATGGTGAGTTTGGTTTCCAATATTATTTGAAACTATGTGGAATTGTCCAGGAGGCTGCTGAATAATCAGATCTACACTTCATTTCAGCAAAGACTCTTGGGCTAGAAATGGAGATTTTAGAATTACCAATATGCAAATGGAGTCCTGGTGTGGCGCTGCAGAACAATGCACTGGACTGCAAGGTCAGTTTGAATTGCAAGATCAACTGTTCAAACTCACCAGCCACTCCTTGGAAACCTATATACAGAATCGCTGTGAGTCAGAACCGACTCCACAGCACTTAATGGCACAAAAGTGGAGCCCTGGTGGTATAGTGGATTAAGCATTGAGCTGCTAACTTCAAGGTAAGTGACTCAAACCCACCAGCCACTACATGGAAAACGATAACGCTGCCTTCGTCTGTGGAACAGTTCTGTTTTGTCTTATAGGGTCACTATGAGTTGGAATTGATTTAACAGCAGTGTTGTTTTTTAATACACAAGTGAAAGTGAAATTTAAGGGTTTTGATGAGTTCTTCCCTGGAGGGTATAAAACATGAGAGGAGCAGAGATCTAAGAACCAAGTCATCAGGCTCAGCAGGCTTGTGGTAAAGAAGAGCATTTTGTAAATAAGAGTAACAACTGATAGTCAAATTCCAGAGGAAGGTCGTCATGAGAGAATTGTTACTGAACTTGTGAGAGAAAGGAGTTTAAGAAAGAAAAAAATGGTCTTGAACATCCAATTCTATCCAATTTATCAATTAAAGTGACACAGAGCAAACAGAATGAAAATTTGGAAGTTGGAAAGCTGATGGATGAGTAGTGACTTAGCTCACCTAAGAAAACTGAACTCTAAGCTCTAGAACTCTCAGAAGATGTAGAAATTGATGGCATTCTGTACTTAAGGAATTTGGGTAGGGCAAAATCAGGAAACTTGGTAGAAATTTTAAAAGCCAAGTCTCAAATCTCCTCTCCTGTATTGTTTGTAACTGGGCAACTAGGGTGTGACCCTAGCAGAAGACTGAAGGTGTATTTTCTGGAGGGACATACTAAAGGAGCATCTCATGTAAGTCACAGCTAAGGGTAGGGGATTGTAATAAAAACAAGGCCATCAAGGAAATATTTATGAAATGAAAGATTCTCAGGCCTGTTAACCTTCCTCTCAGAGCTGGCAGCCTAACCCTAAGTGGGAGACTAACAGTTCTCTCTAGGAAAGACTGATGATGACATTAGAGGTCCCTCAGGAATGAGGCCAACCAGATTACCAAATGGAGAGTAGCCTACAATCTTCAAACCCTACTCACATAGGTAGAATCTCAAACACCTTTTTAGTACTCCATTTTTAAATTGATTTGCCAAACATTTGAAAAGATCCTTTACTATGAAGCTTGAATATCAAAACAGAAAAGGATCAACTTAGAGAAAATTCATGGAGAAGGAAGCATTTAAAAACTATTCTTAGTATATTCAAATAATAAGATAGTGCATTCATGAAATAACAGGATTGCTATGTATAAGGATGGCGTCCTAGTGTGGCCCTAACTGTTAACTGCAAGGTTGGTGGTTCAAACCCACCAGGCATTCCTTGGAAATACTATACAGGATCGCTGTGAGTCAAAACCAACTTGATGACACTTAACAACAACGTATATAAGTACGAAGAGAGACAAAATTGAAAGCATGAAATAAAAACTCAACCAGATTGTTGGAAGATTCAGTTGAGGAAATAAGCAAATAGAGTACAAAGACTAAATAAAAGCAAACCAATGTAAGAGGTTATTGTTGATAAGTGATGCAGAATTGGTTATGACTCAGAGTGATCCCTGTGTATGACAGAATGAAATACTGTGGGCTCCTGCTTCATCTCCATAATTGTAGCTGTGTCTGAACCCAT